GGAAATGAAGCTCTCTGATCTAGCCCAGGCTTGGCGAGTCCTTTAGGCTTTGGGAACAATACAGCCTCTTGCAGCTGCTCAGCGCTGCTGTTGCAGGGCGAAGGCGGGTGTGGAGAGTACGTAAACGCTGGGTGTAGCTGTATTCCAGTACAACTTTATTTATGGACACTGAAATTTGCATTTCATATCATTTTTACATGTCATGAAATTCTATTGTTCTTTTGATTTTTTTCCCAACTGTTTAAAACTATAAAGACTAGTTTTGGCTGTGTGCCATACAGACAGTGAGTGGGCGAGGTTCAGCCTGTGGGCCATAGTTTGCTCTCCTGGATCGAGCCCAGGAGACTTAGCGGTGTCTGTTCCCTTTAATTGCTTTGGATGGTGTGTAATGGTGGATGTTTGAATGATAAGGTGAAGTGCAACTTTCCAGCTTTTGTAGATATCTTCCTGTTTAGGTTTGACAACTTTGTTGTTGCTTTGCAAGGAAAATAATGAAAATTCAGCTGTTTATCCAGTGACAAATATTCTCTTCACGTGTATGAAATTTGTGTCTTACGGCTTTTATTTCTAGGCTCTGCTGTGCGCTAACAGCGTTTATTTTCAATCCATCATACTACAATATTTCTGGAGACATTTTTGTAGCAATTAAGAACTTTACCGAGTAGCATTGAATTTGAATGCAAGCTATAGAAAACTTGGTAAAGCACTCAACTAATTAGGGGTCTATTTGTCTGTTTGTCAGAAAGGTTTAGAGTACGCTGCACAAGACTAGTGTGGCAGCTGTGAAGTGTCCTCGAGGCCCCGGCTAGTGTCATTCTGCTTGAGCATCCTCAGCGTGTGGTGTTTGCTTTCACGTTTGCGGGATGGTTTCTGCACCGCCAGGCCCCCGTCTGCGTTTCTGCAGGGCAGAAGGGAGGAAGTGCAAAATGCGCTTTGTCTTGTCATTTGTGAAGTGGAACCTTCCCAAGGAGTGTCTTCGTGTATCTCCCGGCCAGGCCTCTGTCGTGTGATCACCCCTAGCTACAGAGGAGTTTGGGTAAACAAGTTTTTGTAGCTGAGCACATTGCGTTCCTAAACAAAACCAGGCTTCTGTCATTAAGAAAGAAAAGGAGATTGGCTCCCGGGTAAATAACTAGCCTTCTGCCATAGCTTCTAAGCATGTTTGGAAAAAAACCAAACCGCGTGAATTATAGGCACCTTCCTCTCATGGCTAAATGAACATGGGTGAAGGCAGCGACTCTTATCCTGCAAGTTACTTCTCTTCCGTGTGCTCCCCAAATTTCTTTTGATATTGACTGTAAGGTGCGTGTTGTTTCAGGACCGTTGAAACATGGGGAGGATAGAGTTCTTTGTGTCAAGGAAATGACGGAGTATGTTATTGCTATGTGAGCGCGGGGTTTGTGCCAGCACATCAAGTGGCCTCGACGGCTTCCTCTTGCCACGTGGGAAGCCTTTCTGTTACCTGGGCCCGACTTCTCCCATGTCCCTGCCTCCTGCACTGGGCTGTCCCTGCCCCTCAGGCCTGGGCCCCACAGTTCCAGGCCACATTCACCTTGGCAGATGGATCTTAAAAACAGAGTGACTTGTCTTCCTTCCTGATGCTGCTGTCACAAACATGCACTTGAAAACTGCCTTCTCTAGGTTAAATTTCTCCCTGTTGTTTATTTGGGTGATTTGCTGTAGTATTAGTTATTTTCCTAGCTCGTTTTTTCTTTTCTTTTTCATCATCTGGCCTTTCTTACAAGTGTGAGGAAACATGGAGGCCAGCGCGTGACGGAGCCGCCTGGCTCCTGCTCCGCGGCCCTGAGAGGCCTGGTTTGTGCAGAGCTCTCCCGTCTCTGTGGCGCCACCACTGCTCCCCGCAGGCTGTGCTCCGGGAAGCTCGCTTTCTCTCAAAATAAATTTATTCTGTTTCATCTTTTGAATATTGACACATTCATGCTTTTCAAACAAGTTTTCAGTTTACACATGTAGGAGTGAAAACTCTTGCTCCCACTTGTCCCTGTCACCAGGTCCCACTCCCCACCACCCGGTAACCACTTTTGTTGGTTTCTTACAGTCTTCGAGTTGTTCTGAAAAATGAAAATACAAGCAAATACAAACGTGTTCCTATTTTTCTCCTTTTTTCCCCGAAAAGATTGCCTACTCCGTACAGTTTCTTTTTCACTTACTAATATATCTTACCGACCTTTTCATAGCAGTGTTAACAGTACAGAGGGAATTTCTCCGTTTTTCTTTTTAAGTTGCATAGTATTAAAGTGATCTCTTTGTACCAAACTTGGTCATGCCTCCCCTGCGTCCCTCTTAAAATAGAGGTGGAATTACTTACAATTTACTCCTTGCACTGCTGTCGTCATCAGCATTGTTAGTAAGGAGCTATCCTCTGCTTCATGAGCATTGTTACTATAGAATCGTGCATTTGAATTTTTTAAAAATAATAACAGCAGCTATTTTTTTCTAGTTTTATTGAGATATAATTGACATATAACATCGTATAAGTTTAAGGTGTACAACATAAGGATTTGGTATACATATATACTGTGAATGATTACTGCAGTAAGTTTAGTTAACATCCATCACCTCACACCATTTGAATTTAAATATTCTTCGATACAGCTTTCACCTGTTGGCTGTAAGAAGGGAGGGGTGTTGACACAGGGACACTTTCAAACCTTGCTAATGGGAATGTACATCGATGTGGCCTTGTTGAAAAGCAGTTCAGCCTGGGTCCTTCAGGAGCCTGGAAAACGCCTCCAGCCTTTGACTTGGGTTTCATTAGAGGGCTTTGTCCTAAAGCGGTATTGAAAGACACAGTCAAAGATTTATGAATAAAGATGTTCACAACATGATGTTATTCCTAGTGGTGAAAACAACAAGGATGCTAAATATCTAACAACAGAGTAACAGTTAACTGCACCTGCTAGAATGGCCAGGAAAATATTAAAATTCATGCTTTTGAAAAATTTTTAATGACAGGGGACAGTACTCATGATATATTGTTGAGTGAAAGGGGCAAGACGCAGCTATTTTTACTGAGAGTGATCCTGTGAAAGGAAAGACCAGTCAAGCTGCAGGGGGCTACAGTCCAGCAATAAATGCTGCGTGTGTGTGTGTGTGTGTGTGTGTGTGTGTGTGTATGTATAGGGCAAGGGGTCAGGGAGTAAAGAAACTGCATGTCTTCGATGTATCCTAGCACTGAGAGAACGTGTGTGTTTTTAAGTGCCCACATTCTGGGGTGGTGGTGGATGTTATATGTATATACGTGATATGGAAAACCAGGGTTTGACTGTGTATCAGTGTCAATTTTGATCTCTCCCATGAACATTTGAAATGTGCTGGATATGTCGAGCTCCACACCAACATTAAATCCAGACCTTTTCCTCTAGATTTTCTCAGTGGTTGTCTGTAGTAGGAGAGGAGGGAACTTTTTGTTTGTTTGTCAGACTTTTAAGAATGCAAATACATTGCTTTAGTAGCCAGAGGAGCTGGATTATGCACGTTGTGCTGTGCTAAGAAGTGTCGATGTTCTTCCAAGGGTGGTGTGGACCCACCAAAGAAGAATTTTAAGTAGAAGAATGACACAGTTGTCTTGACAAGAACACACGCTAGAACCTTGATCAAAGTAGCTGACACTTTTGATCTCAGGGATAATAAAATCTACCTTGTAGCGTTGTAAGGGGGAAATTCAGTAGGATGGATGATCCTTTTTTGCAAGCTGAAGTTACAAAATAATGTAACTGTATTCTGAAATTGTCAATAAGGAAAAAAGTTAACTTTTTCAGACAGGAGAAATGACTTAATTGAAGAAAGTGAGATAATGTCATTATCAATTTGGATTTATAACCATACAGTAATTCTCTCATTTTCTATCATTGAGCTTAAAGACGTCCTATCTTGCCGGCTTTTTGTTTCTGTCCATACTAACTACGCCATCTTGTTAGTCATTCATAAACTTCAACCCAGTGATCAGAATCTCTTTCCTTGTTCATGGCGTATGACAGATTTCGACCTCAGAGACACATGCCATTGAGGCTTTTAGGGGGAGTTGGGCGGGGGAATTGCTGGGGGGCGCTCAGTGTGTGAAAGTTCGTTTTGCAAGCATTTTATCTTCTGTGATGAGAGGTCTTTCTGGCTGCTTGACCTCTCAAAATGATTCTTTCATTTGGCCATTATAAAATGTACTTCACTGCTTACATTCATTCTTTATGCAGATTTCCCAGAATTATTTAGAAAAAGCAAGCTGGTTTTCTCATGTTTTACATGCTGTGTTTAAGATACTGAGTATTGGCGTCCCATCTAAATTAGTTACTACCTACCTCAAATTAAGAAGGCTGGTGGCGTTCCGAAAGCCTGCTGGCGTTTGCAGCTCTTCAAGCACACAGCTGACCCCTAGTGACTGAAGAGGGAACGTGGAAGAGCAGAGAACAGGAGGGCTGAGACAGAGTCAGGGCGAGGCGGTGCGGCTGTTTGCCCTCTGCCTAGAGGTGGAGGACTTTTTCTCCTGTGAATTGGTGAAAGGATGCTTTCACGACAGTGGCTACAGCTGTGGAATATCTGAAAGAGGCTGCTGAGGGGAATGAAAATACTGCTGCTCCCGGGAATCAAAGAAATGTCGACATCTCTGATGGGCCGTGTGTACGTGGTTTTTAAGTGGTTTTGGCAGAGGGAGCTTTTGTGACTGTAGACGTCAGTTTCTGAGGGTGAAGGGGGCCCCCCGAGAACTAAGTGGACCTCTCACCTCATCCAGAGTCTGTTCCTTCCAGGCAGTCTGCGTTGTGCCCCCAAGTTCTGGGGAGTCCAGGTGAAGAAACAGCTGTGTCAGGACTTGCTTAGATCTCTGCTGGATGTGCAGCGAGTGGGCAGTGCGTGGCGCCTGTGGGTGGCCTGCTTTTTGTGTCAGTGACCTCTGACAATGAGAAAGCAAATCCAGTTCAATTTGGAAATGTGTACATATTGTTTCAGATGAGCCTTTCTGTTTACTTCTCTTCTTCTCTCTTTAGATAAAGAAGAAGCAACAGGATGTGGTTAGATTTCTGGAAGCCAACAAGATAGAGTTTGAGGAGGTGGATATCACAATGTCAGAAGAACAGAGGCAATGGATGTACAAGAACATCCCCCCGGAAAAGAAGCCCGCTCAGGGCAACCCTCTGCCACCTCAGATATTTAATGGTGACCGCTACTGTGGAGTAAGTGCACATTTGTCATCACACTGTTTCTTTTCATGGCTCAAATCACAGTCACCTAGAGTGCTGGTGGGGTTTTTTCCATGAGGCTGGTGACCTCTTCATCCCGTGCCTGTTCAGGTCCACAGATCTAACAGAGGGTGAAGTCAAGAGGGGACATGAGTCCAGGTCACGGACTATGTGGATGTGAGCACATGCGTGTCTGTCAGTCTTCCTGTCTCTCTGCTTTGGAAAGGGAGTGGGGAGGGAAGCTGTGTGTGTGTGTTTATGGTGTTCTAAATTTTAAAGCATACTTTTTGATTAACACATTTTGAGGAGGCAGAGTAGAAGGGGTAATTATGCTAGAATCTTTTGCTCTATATGGTATAAAAAAACTGCTAATAGCTGATTATAAACAAGAATTTCATTTTTTTAATGATAATAAGCCAGATGGATCATTCTGAGCATCTAAAATATATTAGTTGCCTTCCTGCTATATGAAGCATGTGGGAAGATAAAGTCACTTTTGTCTGATTATTTATTTTCCTTCTCACTCTTTAGGTTAAGAAAAAAAAATTGAGGGGCCGGCCTGGTAGCGCATGGTTAAGTTTGTGCGTTCCGCTTCAGCAGCCCAGGGTTCACAGGTTCGGATCCTGGGCGCAGACCTAGCACCACTCATCAGGCCATGCTGAGGTGGCGTCCTACATAAAAAGAAAATAGAGGAAGATGGGCATAGATGTTAGCTCAGGGCCAAGCTTCCTCACACACACAAATAAATAAATAAATAGAGAAACTTCTCTCCAACGAGTAAGTTAGGATTTGCTTTTGCCACAGCTCTGTCTAAGTTGGTATTTATTTTGGGACCTGGACTCCAGTTCTTTAAGGATGGCCTGGAGAAGGAGAAGGGGCTACAGCGCTGGGGTGTGTGAGATGAAATGAATAGCTAGGCTGTCATTAGAGTGGAGGAAAGGGATCACAGAGTGCTTTTGGCAGCTTGAGAGGAAATGCTTCCCTTCCTCTATGTATGAGGGAGAATGAGTTGTTGGATCATAAGGCCAAAGAGATTGTGCGGAGACCTTACGTCCAGTGTCGTGAGGAGAATCCTGAACGTGGCGTTAGACATAGGTTTGAGTTCTGTACACCTTCATGTTGGCTGGGATGCCTTTGGAAAATCACTTACCTCTTTAAGCCTCAATTTTCTCATCTTTAAGCAAGGGATGATATTATCTATCTTACTTCATGGGATTATTTGTGACTGTTTCTAAAGTATTTTTGGGGTAGATTGTTATATAGAAGTAAAGGTGGTTATTTTTGTGGAATTTTTTATGTCATGATCTCATATTTTATTAGGGGAGTATGTGGACCAAGGGTGTATCCCATTCATGATCACAGGCTGTAGAAGATACACTGTTGTGCCGGTAGACAAAATGAGGTAACAGTTGAAAATGTTTGTAAACTGTGCAGTTCAAAATAAAGTAAAGGTGTGAGTCAAATAGCACTAGCAGGCTTAAAACAAAAATCCAGCAGTTTTCCATTGCTCAGGCTTTGCAGGTATGAAGATGCCTTTATTCTGGTCTTATCGTTGAGTGGTAGTTTGGCTGGGTATAGAATTCTGGGGTGGAAGGAATCTTGATGGTATTGCTTCGTCATCATCCAGTTTCCAGTACTGCAGCTGAGAAGTCTAATGCCATTTTTCTTGATCTTTTCTATGTTTTCATCAGTTTCTTCTGTGCAAGTTTTAAAGATCTCTCATTCATATGTGTGTCCTAACATTTTTTGGTAAATTACCATGATGTAAGCTGCTTTTCATTCACTGTGCTCAGTGCTCATTAGGTCCTTATAATTTAAAAATTATGTGATTGAATTATCAAATATGTTTATATTATTTTCTTTGAAAATTTTCTCCCTGCTTTCTTCTGTGTGCTCTCTCTCTGTAGTACCTATTAGTTTGAATATTGGACTTCTTATTTTTTTTGTATTGTCCGCTTCTCTAACTTTTTGTTGTACTTTCTGGGAGATTTCTTTAACTTAGCTCTGAATCTTTTCATTCAATTTCTTTATGTCATCTTTTTTTTTCCTCCTTCTTTCTGATTTTTTTCTTTTAATAATCTTGTGCTTTTATGAGATGAATGCAAGATCTTAGCTCAATGGAGGCATTAAATATGATTTCTTTGAAGTTGTCTTCTTTTACCAGTATTGTCCCTGTTTCCACTAATTTCCTTTTTTTTACTTTATTTTGATCTTTCCTTCCAAGTGTGGTGGGCTTTCCTCGGTTCTCTGGTGATCCTTGTCTTGTTTATTTAAGAGGTGAGGCACTACAAAGCAACTTAGAAGCTGTGTGTGCCCATACAGGCTTGAAGGCTCGTTTCCCAGTGGGCTTTGCTGTGGGATGACAGGGTAGCCTGCTAGTTTCTCGTTACTGATACTGCTAGCAGTATCTGTAGGTCTTTTCTCAGGTGATGGTTTAATTTTTCCAGAGAATGACCCTTTATTCTCTTGCATTGGGAATATCAGCCTGGCTGCTGGAGTTCTGGCCCTGTGGGTGCGAGAACTGGAGGGTCTTACTCTGTCATGCACATTTTCATTTCGTGTCCCTGTTCTCACTCCTACTCCCTTCAACGCTGGTGTTTATCAGTTTGTTGCTTCCCAGAGGTCATGTCTATGAACAGTGTACCTTCCAGCTCCTTTAGGGAGAGCAAGGTAACCTGGAGTCCAGCTGCTGTTCATGTAGGCTTGTGAACGGTCTCTGTTGTCTGCCTTTGCCCACTCACCCCACCTTCACAAGAGCCTCCAGGTCCTCGTGTTTTCTGGGGGCCCTGCAGCTTGTTTCTTGTTGATGCTGCCTCTGCAGACACTGAGGTTTGACCGTCCTTTGCCATGTAACGTCCCTCATTGTTTTCTGCCCACTTTCTGTATATGTTGTGGTTCAGGGCTGTAGATGTCTCCTAGGTTTATAAAAAGAAAGAAATGGAGTTTCTGGTTTTATAAAAAAATCCTTATTGTTTTGTTAACTTTCAAGAGAAAGTAAGTAGAGACATCCTTGCTCTATCATGATGAAAGCAGAAGTCTTCAGAGCCCTTTGAATAGGGGAATGTACTGGATGAATGAAAGAATGTAATGTTGTGAAAAAAAGTTAATCCGGTTTTATTTCCACCTCTTTATGACTTTCTAAATCTGTATATATCTTTGCCCTGTGGAGTCTATGGAAATTTTTCAGATAGACTGTCTGGGAGCTGGCTAGAGGCTTACATATTGATTAAACTGTGCTAGATAAATGGCATCTTCTCTGCTTGAGTGGGGTTAGTCCCCTGGGGATGGTGACAGTCGTGCTGGTGTGTGCACTCTCGAGTCTGTTCTGGCAGGAGTGTTGAAGACAGTATCTGCTCTTATCAAGGTCAAGTAAATTCAACTTTGACAAAAGCAAAAGCATTAGAGGGCAACTAACGATGGCCTCATTCCTTTCACCTGCTCCTCTGCATCTTGCTGTCTTTACCCAGTGCTAGTTCATGAGTGGCCTTATCTGGTTGGATATAAGCTGTGGAAACCTGCCACATTGCAACTGACAGGATCCAGGAAGCATGAAGATCCTCCTATTTCCTGGAATTGCTTGGAAACTTATTACTGTATTTTAAACTGGAAGCGCTAGGCGTGTGAGACATAAAGAGCTGCTAAACTACGTGGTAAGCAGTGTGGACAATTGTCTTCTCTGTCTCCCTTAGCATTTGAAGATCCTGCCTATTGGGAGGAATTCCCCCACTGAATGGAAGCTCCCTGGCATGCCCAGTCAGAGTCGCCGTGCCCCTGCCCCTGCCGCCCCCCGCCTGTAGAATTTTAACATTGAGGGGATGATGCAGAAACACACGATCAGTTGGAGGGTGGCAGTAAGTGTCCGGGGGTGATGGCACCAGGCATAGCTGTGGCTGGTGTCCTAATGACAGCCTGGGGTCTGGCCTGGGTGTGTTCTTGTCTACCCAGACACAGAAAGTCCTCCTCTTTTCTGAACTTGTCCTTCAGCTTTAATGTGGATTCTGTGAGCTCCCCACTAGACCTCCATAAATTCCTTTCCTTTTAAGTTGCCAGTGTCCATTTCAGGTGTCTGTAGTCAAGAACCCAAATGGGCACAGACTGGTTGTCCTTGTGGTATCCCTGGCACGTCTTACCATGAGCAAGATTCTTCTCTGGAAATGGGGTCCGAAAGGAAAACATCCCAACACCTAGGCTTTTCTGATGGGTTTTACAGTCTGCTTTGGATTTTAGAAAGCCCTTTAGACCTGTCCTTGTGTTCAAGGTTTAAAGTTTATGCTTTCTCTGTCGACCTGGCATGTGTGGAATACCAGAAATGAAAATGCACACATCTCCACAAAAGGAAAATATTTACTCCCTTTTGATTTCTTTCCTCCCTCCCTATTCAGCAAAAAAGTGATTTGGATTTCTTTATATATTTTTCTTGTTTTCTATTAAAAAGTTTTTATTGTGATAAAAACACGTATTATAAAATTTACTGTCTTAACCACTTTTAAATGTACAATTCAGTAGTGTGACATGTATTCACATTGTTGTCAAGCGGATCTCCAGAGCTTTTTCATCTTGCGGAATTGAATTCTGTACCCATTAAACAGCTCCTGTTTGTCCCCTCTCCCCAGGCCCTGAGAACTAGCATCCTTCTTTCTGAATTTGAGTACTCTGGATACCTCATAGAAGTGGAGTCACGCAGTACTTGTCCTTCTGTGAGTGGCTTATTCGCTTAGCATAATGTCCTCAGGGTTCCTTCATGTAGTATGTCTTAGTCCATTAAAGCTGCTGTAATGAAATACCACAGACTAGGAGGCTTACAGACAACAGAAGTTTATTCTCACAGTTCTGGAGGCTGGAAGTCCGAGATCAGGGTGCCAGCACGGGCAGGTTCTGGCGAGAGCCCTCTTCTGGCTGCAGACTGCCACCTTTCTGCGGTGTCCTCGAGTGGTGGAAGAGGCAGCCGAGCTCTCTCACGCCTCTTTATGAGGGTGTTAATCTCATCCGTGAGG